GACTGTGTGGATCATAACAAACTATGGCTGACTCTGAGAAGAATGGGAATCCCAGAACACTTGATCGTGCTAATGCGAAACCTATACTTGGACCAGGAGGCAGTCATCAGAACAGAGCAAGGGAACACTGCATGGTTCAAAACTGGGAAGGGCGTATGCCAGAGATGCATCCTATCTCCATACTTTTTCAACATGTATGCAGAACAGATTATCTGGAGGCTGTGCTCTATGAGGAGAAATGTGGGGTCAGGATTGGTGGACGATCTGCCAATAATCTGCATTATGCAGATGACACAACCCTGCTTGCTGAAACTGAGGAGGACCTGAAGCACTTGCTTGTACAACTCATAGTGACTCTAAGAACAGCTAACCTCACTCCTGCCCTATTCTGTGTCATCCTCTTCATCTCTGACATAGTAGAGCCCATTGCTAAAGTCAGTGTCAATCTATCTCATTGGGAGTCTTCCCCTCTTCCGCTGACCCTCTGTCTTTTCAAGCATGACACCACTTTCCGAGGAAAAGCCTCACCTACTTACATGACCAAAGTATGAAAGATGAAGTGTTGCCATCTTTGCCTCCAAGAGCACTCTGGCCACACTTTCTCCAAGACATATCCTTATGTACTTTTGGCAGTCCATGGAATATGTAATACTTGTCTCCAGCACCACAGCTCAATGGCATCAATTCTTCTTCTGCCATCTGTATCCACTGTCTAGCTCTAATGCTAGCAGGTGACTAGAAGAGCAGGGCCTGAATAAGGAGCACCTTAGTCTTCAAACCAACATCACTGTTCTCAGCATTTTGGAGAGTTCTCTGACAGCAGGCTTGCCCAATGCAAATCTTCTGATTTCCAGACTGCGGGTACCAAGGATTGTCAATCCAAGCAAGATGAAGTCATCTGCATAATGCAGGTTGTTGGGTCTTCCAACAATCAAGATGCCACATTCTTCTTCATAGAGTCCAGCTTTGTGAATTATTTGCTCAGCATATAGTCAAGACTGAGCAATAAAGGCTGGAGTAGTAGTGAATGCTCAACCACTGGACTCACCCTGGGGGAAAGGTGGTAACACGTATTACAGCTCTATCACAGCTCTACTCTGTCATGTGGAGTGACGGCCCTGGAAATAAACCTCTGTCTTAGCAAACAAGTTATGAGGAACCTACCTATTTTTTCAGGTTCTTTTACTAAACCAACATTTAAGCTTAAAAAAAAAAAGTTTTATTCATTACCTATGTAAGAGATGAAATGCACTGTGTTAGTTTTATGTACCACTAAAAACCCAAGAATTCATTAAATACAGCATAATATGGATGAATCTAGAACAAATTTTAGATATAAGTTGCAAAAATAATTATAAGAACATTATAAAAACCAAGGAAAGGTTTACACACATACTGTATCTTGGAATGATAATAAGCATGGGAAGGGAGAAGAAAAGGGAAGTTAGTATAATAAAGAGATGATTTGGATGAAGGGAAAAGAAATACACAAAAAAGGTTGTTCATTGTAATGACATTAATCAGTTGGAATTACTGTTATAAAACAATGATTGCCTATCAATGATTCTGGAGAGGGATGGGCAATCTCCTCCTATGTGATTAACTGCCTCTGAAAACCTAAGAGTGGGTCAGCTATGGGTCAGTTACAATTTGACAGTAAACAACAACATCAATGATTATATGAAAATACAAAATACAAATAAACAGATTGTTGTTGTTATGTGCCGTCGAGTCGTTTCCGACTCATAGCGACCCTATGCACAACAACCCTAAACCCTGCTCTATCCTGCGCCAAC